GCCTATTACACTAAATATGAAAGTCACAAATAGACAAGGTTTGGGTTGAAATTAGCTTATTGATTCTACCCAGCAGAGCTCTTACAGATACTGGGTCTTGTTTAAAGCATTGCTATGGTGTTCAACAGCAGAAAAACTCAAAACAGCTTGAATTTTGAATATTATTTCCCGTATTTAGACAGCTTCAGGCTCTCTGTTGCTTTAATACATCCTGAGCTGCATTTCTTGATTTGTTTACCTCTTGTCGTCTCTTAGTTTGGAAATGGACACGCATAGCAGCTAAAAAAGAGTAATGTTGTCATGTTGAAACATGGTATAGGGTAATTTGCTTTAAATTTTTAACCATTTTAACACTTATTATTAGGTTTATGTTTTTGATTTAAATTGTACTTTTACTTTTCAGAAGGCCACAAGTTTGTCAGTATTCTCATATACTGTTGTGTTACCCTCTTAAAATAAAGCCTCTTAATTACTAAACATTTTGATATAAAACTTGTGTATCTAAAAACTGCATGTGAGTGCAATAAACTGTTTACAACCAAAATCGGAAGAGGAAGGACTGTGGGTGCAGTTTATTATCCTCTTAACCAATCCAGTGGGTACATGTAAGCAATTTCCCCTCTAGATCTCGTAGGCACTATCGGCGTATCACTGGAAAAAAATAGAGATACCAAACTGGAAAATCATTGGTAAATAGCTAATTTAAGATACCATTATTGGAATATTATTGGCAAATATTGGTGATACCAATATAAATCCAACATTGGTAAACTTGGGAAACACATACTAAATGATCATTGGAGTTTTCTTGGAAATTTGTAGGTAAATTGATATGTTTAAAATCCAATCTGGGAATAAAATTGGTATGTTTGATTTTCCAATGATGTCCTTAACAATGATAATCCAAAAATGGGAAATTAATTACTATAACAGCATACAAACACTGGAAGATTACAGGGAACATACTGGTATCGTTATAATATTATACTCCAGGCTTGGAATAACAATGGAATCTATAATATTGTGATTAAAACCTTCCATTATTAGCCCAATGTTGGCAAAATAGTCAATTAAAAGGTGTACCAACATGGGGATATTTAACGAAAATTACTGGTATATTAAGCATTTAATACCCCTAGCTTTGTGAATCCCTGGTATAGTGATATCTGTTTTCTGAAAGATGCCATTGATACTGGTAAATAGTGGTACATAGTCAAGGTTTTGTGATACCAACATAGGTGTATTTCAGGAAATTGACTGGATTGTTAATCAAGTAAACAATTATATTCCTAAGTTGGAGTAATAATGGAAGAATGTATACTTCTAACTTTAACAATCCAATGATAACAATGATAACAAAATATGGAAATTTGTGATTTTCCAGGGAATTCACTGGTGGTTTCTTTTTTCAATTAATTCTGCAAACTTGGAATAAAACTGGTACATTGTCAATAAAAGTAAAGGTGTGGTAGATGTCCCAATGTTGGGAAAAAAGCAAGTTATTGTTTGTGAAATACCAGCATGAGAGTTATCTCTAGACCTTAATTGACTAATTAATGGAAATGCTCCAAGATATCACTGCTAGCTAACTTTGCAACCATCACATTGAAATAAATGATTAAATCATGGTGCATGAAGCAGGCCATTACATGCCAAACAGCATGTTCTTAGCAATAAATACCTTGAAATAAACCTGAATTAATAAATTACTCTTGCGCATACAAATTTAATGTTTAGAAGTGTTAATTCTTATTTCTGCTTTATACACAACTTATAATTATTGTAGTAACTACGAAGTAGGGTAGCATTTTGGGGCTTGGAAATAGACTTGTTTACTAAAGGTTTACACATGTATCAATAATATTTGTGCTTAAAGCTCAAATTCCTCCCAGCGAGTGTAACAAGTGGCCCATTCTCCCATTAAGTCAATTCCAAGAACACTATTCAGATGAACATCTTGGGCTGGTGAATTCTCTGGTATCCATATTGTGCCACTATGTTTTACAAAAAATTGAACAGTCACAGTTCTCCGCCTCATATTGAAGGCAAGGACAAGTGCCTTCCACAGTGAATCTTCACCATCACCTCTTACTTCAATCATATCATTTCGTACAGGATAATAAGGGACGACCACTGTGCCAGCACTGATTGGAAAAATTCTTCTCATGAAATCGTTTACCACATATATTGGCCCTCTAGCAGCCTCATCTGCATGAGGAACGAGCATAACTTTCCTGCTTACATTTTGAAGTGGTAAAACTATGTCAATGTCAGTTTCAGAAACAACCTTCATACCATTGTCACTTAACCCCTGTTCATCAAATTTCTTTGCTCTGAAAAAGTGTTGCCATTTGTTAACGACAAATGCACAGAAAAATTGAAAAGCTTAACAGTCACCTCTCCATCTTGAGCTATGACGATGGCATCTTCCTTTTCTCTAAAAAGTAAGCCATCATAGCCATGGGTTGGAAACCAAGCACTACAGCAACATATGCCATCTTTTTCAACACTTGCAATAGGTACAGAGTGTTCATTAGCAATGGCTTGCTGTATCATTCCACTCACCGGAAATGGGTTTGCGCCCCCAACAAGAATGCCTGTTACATCAGCTTGACAGTGAACCTGTTCGTTGGCAAAGTACATTTTCTTGGCCTGTTCAATAGATTTTGCCCATAATTTGTTTGGATCAGTTTTTGCTGGGTTTGGTACTTCTTCTCTGGGATCTTTTCTAAACTTAAGAACTTCACGCCGTTCTTCATTGGATGCAAAAGTACATTCAATGTTTTTGTGGTTATTGGGCTGACGTACATATCTCCTAACTGCTCTCTCCTTGTTCCAGCAAGAGTAATTGTCTTGTCCACTGAAATTCATTGTATCTTCTTTAAAATGAAGAAGATTATGAACAATCATTGTGCAAGCTGTTGGACCTTTTCGGTCTTCAAGTAAAATGGCATACCTTAATGCCATCTGCCGGAAAGTTTCGGCATCATTTTCTGTCCACCCATGCCTTGCATGGTTCTGGAGAAACTCCACCATTCGCGCAATGCATAGCCATTCTTCTTGTTGATCTTGTGAAAGAAGTCCGTTGAACACAATCTCAGATGCTGGAAAAGCAAACTTGTTCAAATCATCAGCTTTCCAGTAGCCAAGACGTTTCTCTATACCCCTTGGGATGTGTGAACTTTTGAATTCTGTGGTCCATGGAAAATCATTTAAGCGTTCATCTGCTTTAGCCCAGTCAACTGCATTGTCCTCATCTTCTTTCAACTTAAGAATAGCATTCTTGACAATGTTAAGATGAATCGTATGCATCTCATCAAAAACCAAGTCTCTATCATACAAAAAGCCATAAAGATTATGCAGTCTATGCAAGATTGACAGTCCAGTGTAGCCACTCTCTTTGGAGAGTCGCTGTCTTACACTGCTTCTTTCCTCTGTGGCTATTTCACTTAACAATTCCAAGTTGTCAAGGATACTTTTCTTTTCTGCAGGATAGCATCCCTGTTTTCGGATGTTGGGGTAATAGTAGTGGAGTGTTTCTGCAACATACACACTTTCAGGTTTGCAACACCGGCAACCTGATTTCCCCATCTTAGTAAATTTCCCAACTTCGCACAAGCCACAGTGATCCCCTGAAAAACACAAAATTAAATGTTTTATGGTTGTTCTTCCAGCAGGTTTACCACAAGTTGCTAGATTATAATTGACTTGGATGCCATTGATGAAGCTGTCCTCTATATCCGCTATAAGTGGTTCCAAAAAAGGATCTAAGGAAATTGGTCTTTTCTTTGGAAGCATATGTGACGGTACAAATCCTACCACGTACACCTCTTCAGCTTTGCACCTTTCTACCTTTGACATTGTTGCTATAGTGATCTCAATTGCTCCACAACCACGGAGTGATGAACTAAATGGTTGCCATCCATCCCAATGTGCTGAAAAAAAAGAAAAAGTTTGTTTATTAGGCAAAAGGCATAGATAAGGGTAATTCTGAGTGGCTTATCGATCTCAAGCTGGTTTCTGTAATAACTTGGTCTACCCAGCTGTCTAAGAAATGTTAATGATCTAATAAGATGGGCCCAGGCCACCTGCGGCCACGCCCATCTCATGCTCTGCTTCAGGATTTTATTCCAGGGATGTTATTCAAGGCTACGTATTTTCATTCGCTCAGAACGGGTCATCTTTCATCAGCCACTTGAGTTTAGGTGATGACAGATGTTGCTCAGCAGTTTATATGAACATTCCCTGCTTAAAGGAAGGGCTGGAATGTTACGAATTTACATGTTGCACCCTACAGATATACAGTATTTTACAGTATATTTGCGATGGGCTGAATGAAGCACTGACCAAGAACTGATGCAGAATTTCAAAGATGCCAATGTGACTTTTGAAATGAATGCAAATTTGTGGCTCATCAGGCAAATGACCCTGGAGATCGATTATGGGAGCCAGCAAGTAACTGGTACCTGTTCAAAAAGTATTACATTGTCCTATAGTGTGACAGTCGCCACACTATAGGATAATGCAATACTTTTTGAACAAGAGAAGTAGTGAAGTAATTATTAATTTTTTATATATTTTAACACTCCCATCTTTTATAAACCAAATTTATTAGCCTTGTTCAGTTCTAATCAGAATGTTCATTGAGTCCTTCAGTTCAGATATGGAAATAGTTTCAAGACCCGTCTATGAACCCACAGGGTTTCTTGTTATTTAAGCTTTGTGTAAAAAATAAAAGGGCATATGAATAATAGGACTATATGTTTGTTAACTGATATTTTAAAATGTGCCCAGATATATCTATTATTTGTGTACGCTTAATGTCAGATTGCTTCTATGATACATGTAAATACTGGGGACATGTTGAAAAATTGAACAATAAATGGGGAAATGGATTGTTAACAAATGAACATTGTGCTAACCATCATATGCAATATTCCTTGGATCTCCTCTAGTTGTTTGGATCTTGTATATGAAAGTATGAAAACATTCATGGCACTCTATTTCACACTCATTAACACTACCAGCAAGTTTAGGTGAGCTTGTGATAACCTCAACAGAAATAACAGTCTTGCAGTCAAGTTGTGGACACTTAACAGTGAGAATCCACTCTTCATCCTCATTCCAAAAGACAATTCAGCAAAACGCTTTCCATCCCAGAACTCCTTTTTGAGGCCCTGACCCCAGCCTATTTTTTTATCAGGTGGCAACCAGTGGGCCCTTTGTTGCCAATGAGAAGTCATTTTCGTGCACATTGAAGAAGAGGAACACCACCTTTTAACCTTGCTTATGATGCTTAGGTAATAATAAGGTATGTTTCCATGTTTTCCACAATAAGGGCAACATTCTTCTTTATTTTGAAGCAAACCATACTGACAGGGGTGGCTTGAGTCTAAGCATACCCAGTACAGTTTTGGGGTGCTGTATCCAATGGTCTCAAGTAGAGAACATACTTCATCCCATTTGGAAGGCCAGATAGTGTTCGCCTCATCAACTCTATTGTTGTTTCTGGAATACAGTTTCTTTCCCCAGTCTAAGAGGGGTGCTGTATCCAATGGTCTCAAGCAGAGAACATACTTCATCCCATTTGGAAGGCCAGATAGTGTTCGCCTCATCAACTCTATTGTTGTTTCTGGAATACAGTTTCTTTCCCCAGTCTAAGAGGTCTTCAAAATTCTGTATAGAGATTGCCATTTGATCCTTCATTTCAACAGCTCGTAAAATTGCATCAAAAATGAACTTATCAACATCATCCCCTTCTTCATCGTTTCCATTATCAACATCATGATCATAAACATCATCATCAGGCCCGGCGGTATCAATTTTTTCCCAGTTATCCATTCCATTAAACTCACTGTAACTTGAACTTCCGTCGCTGCTTATGGTGTTCATTTCGTCAACATCGTTTACGTTTTCAGCAAAGTTACAAGATTCATCAGGAGTGTCTTCTGAATAAAATCCACACGCGTAAGCTGTAATTTGCTCACAATTGTCAACACTTTCTCCCGTACGACTTTCAATGTTCACCGGTTCTGCCGTGAAACAGCAATCAACTTCATCTTGAACTTCGTTATTCGAAAACTTGGCTTTCTTCGATCGCTGAAGGTGTCTCCATGCTGTTGTAGGATAGACTGGCTCGCCTGTGCACACCTCACAAGGACAATGAACATGACCATTTGATTTTAAATTTATGTTTATCGCTTCTTGGTTCAATGTACAAAAGCAAACGGAAGGGCAAGTTTCTTCGTCTAATTTTTTGCACGCCATTTTTTCCCGCGACAAATCTTCCATCCCGGAGCCGACGTCATGGTGACCAGCGGTTCATGGCTTTATGCATGCGCAATAGAACGAAAATTCTCCCGCCATTTTGCGCCCGAGTCTTACGCCATTTGTCAGTGATGCGAAGGTGTTTTGCACTTTTTCCGGGTTTTGTAGTGTAGGAAAGAGTTTTATTTTTCTTTTAGCCGCCCAAATATGTCGACAAGAGTAAATACGGAAGAAAGCTGCGTTAATATGGATGAAAGTGTTGCTCTGCCGGAGGATTTCAGAGGTAAATAGTTCGCACTGCTTTATAAACCTACTGCCGTACTGTAGCTGGTTGTGCACAAGCATATTTTTATTAAATCTTTATTCTCAGAATGGAGTTGTTCTGATCTAACACAGTGGATGACAGACACTGACAAATTTAAAAAGGAAGAAATTTCGCTTATGAAAGGTATGTGCTGCCGCAATATTGGAACTTGATATGCAGCAAATTTTGTGATAAGGGGACCCTGATATAACTGAGCTAAAAATTAAGCTTTGATCCAGTTCAGTTTTACGTTGCACTTTGACAGGAGCCGAAATTTCCGGAAAGTCGTTACCAATGGTGGACCGCCAAGTGTTAAAAGATATTGGCATAACGAGTGTTGGGAGACAGCTGGAAATTATCCAAGCGTTTCAGGAAGTAATTCAACCAGCAAGTAAGCCTTGGTCTTGAGCAGTACTGTAAAATAACTGTGAGGATTTAACTTTTCTACCAGCGGGATATTTGGGAAGTTAATTGCATTTCTCCGAGAGCCAGAAATTGATCAAGTTAATTCAGTTACTTTGAATTAGTCCATTTTGGATTTCTTTGCTCCTTCTGGATAAAATAATGTAGTCCTGACAGTGCAAATTTTAAATTAACTGAACATGAGGCACACTCTGTATAACTTTTGTGCCTACCATGTTTTCATTAATTAGTAGGAAAGAAGCAAAATGACCAGTAGTAGTGATGCAAATGATCTCCATGTTTTAGTCTTTATTTAGGTCAGATTTTAATTTAATTTCTTTCAAAATAATTTCTTTCATTAATAATGCCAGGCACTGAACAAATGTGTGCTGACAGGGATCAAGAAGCAGGAACTTCAACTTTCAGCGTTTCGAAGTTCAACAATCAGTGGAAAAAGAAAGTGAAGAAATCAGACCAGGGTAAATGGTCAGAGTGTAACAAGAACTTATATCGTACAAAGTAGGTAGAAAACCAACACTTAAAACTATCACAATTAGATTCTTTTACTTACAACAAGGCTAGAAAATGAATAACTTTTATTGACCTGATATAATAGGATTGCTGTTGTACGAAGAGAAGTAGGCAAGATTTGGCCAGGAAATCAGAAAATCTACTTCAAACAAAACCAGGCCAACCTACTGAAGTTGGAAGAGCTAGCATCAAGACTAGCTGATACTTGCTCCATACCTGAGATCGGATTTGGACGAGGTAATAAAATTTATGTAGCTGATTCTCTGTGTGAGTAAATTATAGAAAAAAAAAATAACAGCAAGTCAAGGAAGTTCTTAAAGGTCAAAATATAAACTGTATCTACACTTTGTAGCTCTCCTAAAGAACTTCTCATTATACAGTTTAGAAAATCAGAAAGACTTATATAGCTTTTAAATATGTGTATTCCTCAAGTCTTTAAACATCCTGATGATTTATTCCTTTCCTTTTTCTAGAAGCCATTCGATCACATATCCTCCAGTGGTCTCAAGAAAAAAACCGCAGAATAGCTGATGGCTATGATTTTGAGGTATAGTGTATGCTCAAATAGCATTTTCTTCATATCATGTGTTAATATGCCTGTGAACAGGCTTCCTCTTATGAGGAGTACATCTAGTGAAGAAAGAAAATCAAATGAGTAGTGTCTTTAACTTGAGCCCCATTTATACTTCCTTCTCATATCCCCTTTAAAAAGTTCTTCCCGTTTTTCCCAGTCTTCCCCATAGCCTATAAAGATGGAACACAATTAGACCAAAATTTTGTTACTTCAACTTTTTAGGTTGAACATACACGTGCTAAGAGGGCAAAAAAAGTCAGGCATGGAAAGCCCACCAAGCACAAGTACTAGTGGCACTGACGATAGTAAGCAAACCTTCCAAACCTGTTGCTTATAAACAGTTAGACAAGTTACTTTTAATTGTGTGTTTTTTTACAGTCAGTAAGAGGCACCTTTTTACCCTCAGAAATCTAGAAAAGTCCCATAATTTTCTCTGTATGCTTACTTTCACCAAAGTATAACTTGAAAGAAAACTGGTGGCCAAGTAGTTTTGAAGAGAGGTTAACTATATGTGGTCTTATACTAGTACACTTGCTCAGAACATTCTTAAAAGACTTGGCTTTGAATTATGATTTGTGCAAACCTTTACCACAGTGTATATGACTGAAATGAATCAGGCTTGTCTTTTTATGCATGTTTTTTTGTCCTTCATTTGTCAAGTGATATAGGGTACAGTTTTGTCAGTGACATTTTTTCAATTCAATCTACTTTCAGGTGGAGATACAGAAACATTGGAATCAGGAGATACTGAAGCAGAGCAGGATGTGGAACGCGACATTGAGAAAATCTCAAAGACAGCAGCCAAAGTTGTTTTGTTAGTTGCATTCAGTGTTAATTCCTTTGACTACTTATCTATTTATAGGAATCTTAATCCTCTAGCAAAACATCTGAAAGTCAAAACACGGGGAATGGGTAAATATGAAATGGTATGTTCAATAGCAAAGCAATTGTTAAAGCAACAGTATATTGTTCCAAGGGACCCTGCACAAGAGTTAAATTACAATTGTATTAAAAGAACAGAAATTAAAAGCAACAAGAGCTTAAATTTCTTATTTGATAAGTCACCTAAGCCATCTTCAAGTGATGAGGAAGAAAATGATGAGAATGTGGTTTTAACCCAAACTCAAAGTCATTAGACAGTTTCTGATAGTTTCTGAAATAAGGACATGTTGACCAAGTTACCATTATGGGTATAGTTTAACTCATCTTTATATCAAATTAAGTTGAAATTTGAAATTAAGTTGATACTGAAACAGAGCAGGATGTGGAGCGCAACATTGATAAAATCTCAAAAACAGCAGCCAAAGTTGTTTTGTTAGTTGCATTCAGTGTTAATTCCTTTGACTACTCATCTATTAATAGGAATCTTAATCCTCTAGAAAAACATCTGAAAGTCAAAACATGAGGAATGGGTAAATATGAAATGGCATGTTGAATAGCAAAGCAATTGTCAAAGCAACAGTATGTTGTTCCAAGGGACCCTGCACAAGAGTTAAATTACAATTGTGTTAAAAGAACAGGAATTAAAAGCAACAAGAGTTTAAGTGTCTTATTTGGTAAGCCACCTAGTAAGCCATTTTCAAGTGGTGAGGAAGAAAATGCTGAGAAAATAGATTGAGCACAAATTCAAAGTCATTAGACAGTTTTTGACAGTTTCTGAAATAAGGACATGTTTACTAAGTTACCATTATGGGTATAGTTTAGCTAATCTTCCATATGAAATTAAGTTGATGTTATTAATTAAATATATATATATCTTGAAAAGTGATTACAAGTATAAGTGAGTTTAAGTACAAACCTTTTGTTTGGTTTATAAAACTAAATTCAAGAAGCTACAAACTGCATAAAATATGTTTTATTGGTTACAGCTTTATTCAGTTTTTTTCTTGACTTACAGATCTGTTTTAACTGAAAGAAGGAGATTATCACTTTATAATTTGATTTTGGAAAAAAAATAAAGTTTATTTTGGTAAGGCAAATGTGGTATTACTTTGCTGGATTTAATATACCAATAGTTTTTATATCATTACATAATAATTCAATATACCAAGACTGGCAAAACAAACTATAAAACAAGATTGACAAAAAAAAACCTCCACTAATATTCCAACATTGGAAAAAACGTATTCAAAATTCCAGTAATTTTCCAGTCCAATATTAACATATTCCAGTATTGGGAAATTATTTCAGTGTACCAAGGATGGTAACTTAAAACTATTCTTCCAATAGTTTTCCAAACAGTATCAATATATCCCAAGGCTGGAAAAGTAATTTTGATATTTCAAGGTTGGAAAACAAAAACAATTTTCCAATAATATCCCAATGAGAATCATCATTTTCCAATATTGGAAAGTTTATTTCAAATACCAACATTGGTTTTTATATCATTTTCCCAATGTTGGTATAGTAAATAACTTTCCAGTGAAATCCCAGTAAAAAACCACTGATAATCCTATGTTGTTCCAAAGTTGGTATTTCACTTTTTTTCCTGTGGTACTTGAGCTACTCGCTGATGTTAAGGACGAGTCCTCGTTCGAGCTATCACTGAAAGAGGGAGTGGTGTCCAAATTCGTTGACAATCTGGTGTTTCTCGCTGTGACTGTCGTTGTATTTACGCTAGAAGATGATGGCCACGTTTGGGATTGCTTAGCCCGAGGTGTACTGATCATAGATGCAGACAATCTTGTTGGGTTACCATTTAAATCCCTCAAGTTATGCGTTTCGTTTACTCTTCGTCTACTCGCTTGGTTTGGGGTTTTTCTAGCCATATCTAAGAATCAACCAAGAGAAAAACGCGTGGTTTTTCTACTGCGTAAAATATTCCGCAACCGAAGTGAAAAACGGCAGGAAAGTGGCGCTCAAAATTTGAATGCGTAATTCAATACGTATCGCTCAACAGAAATTGACAATCATTCGCTGAAATGCATGACGTAACACTGACGTTGTTAACCGAATTAACCAATATTAGCAGAAAATTCGGGAGAACCTGGCTGCGAGGTAATCCTTACGACAAGGCTGCCATTTAAAGTAGGATGTCATCTAAGAGAAAATTTTGCGACCATTGTAAGGAATTCGTAACGTTGAGAACTTACAGGCTTCACGCTCATCTATATTCGATCAGAGCTAGCGAAGCAGTATATTCTTCGGAAGAGGAGGAAATTTCGCGTGATGATTCCGAAGATTTTCATGTTGAGCACCTGGCCTCTGGCGAGGCGGCGGGCGCAGCAGAGGTTATCGATGGTCAAGGAAACGAGACAACATTTTCAGGTACAAAGAGATTTTTTTACGTTTTGGGGGTCAGTGGGAGTTTCTGTGGTCAGCCGCCATTTTATTAGATTGTATTTGTTGTAGTTCAAGTTTACTTTCCTTTGTTTCAAACTCATTATCATACACTACCATACCCATAGACAAAGGAAAATAAAATTTGAACCAAGGATAAAATTGAACCACAACAAATATATTGTTGTTTCAATGTGTTTTTTAATTACCACTGATTGTCATTGACCATGACTACTGTATCATTGATTTTCATCAATTATGACTGATTATCATCAATTAACATCAATTAGCTTTTCATAGGCTTTCATCAAAAAAGGGTACTTCTCTAGGCTGGCTAAATGAAAGAAATTATGAACGTAATAACTGCTACTCCAATTAAAGCTACTTTAAGCCTGGTGCCAGTCATTCAGTCAAATGGTATAAAAGCTGCTAGGATTGGTGATTGATATTCTACAATAGTTGTACTGCACTTCGAAAAACCTCTTGAAAGAGAGATGCTTTTCAGCTTGATTTATGTAATGCCTTTAGAAACTACTTCCAGTCGTGTTTAATCAAAACAATTTCATGGCACTTTGCCATTTATAATTACCAGTAGCAAGGCAAAAAAAAAACAAAGAGATCGCTCATCACATTTTGTGTTGATGAGCTAAAATTGGTAACTCAGACAGCTGGAAGCAACATGGGGTTTTTTGGGACAGCATTTGAAAGTCTAAGATGTCCATATGCAAGCTCTACTTCCCTCCACCCTCCATACCTAAGAGTGCTTGCTCACTGGCTACCCCTTTAGGATCCTCAACCTTATTAGAACAAAGTAAAATGATACTTGAAATGGTTTATTAAAATAAAACGCAATATTTCCTTACAGGACCTTCAGGCACAAATGTCCAAGAACTAGAAGAGGAGGATGCATTGTTAGTGCATGATATTTTGTCCTCTGAAATTGATGCTGACATGCTTTACCATGAAAGGATGGGACCAGAACTAACTCATCAAGTATGGAATCTTGATGATGAAGATATTGACACAAATTTTCCAACTATTCCTGGACAGCTTCCTTCAGTCGATGTCAATCCTGCTCAAGGATTACGAGAGAGTATGAATAGCATTATTCATTGGATTTTACTTTTCTTGTGCTTGTGGTCTTCCTTTTGTGTAATTTCAGATAATGCTCTAGAAATTCTTCTAGAATTTTTAAGTCATTCCTTCCACTGGAAGTTTTGCAGCATTATTCCCAAAATCCCTGCATTTATTAAAAAAACAACTTGGAATCGATAAGGATGAATTCATGAAGTATGTTGTGTGTCCAAAGTGTGGCACTTTGTAAAACTTTGATGACTGTTATGTACTGCATCACAGGAAGAGAGTTTCAAAGAACTGTACATTTGTCCAAAGAAGAACAAGAGGCATACAAACAAAAATACAAACACATTGCCCCTGAAGTTGTGGCAGGCACTCATCTACCATCATATGCTAGTGATGTTTATTCCCTTGGCCTCCTGTTGGGGCAGATTGCAACCAAGATTGGATGCAAGTCCCTTCTGTCTCTCAGTAAACACTGCTTAGGGAATAACCCACAGGCCAGGGCTTCATTAGATTACCTCATGGTAAACATTCAGTCATTACAGACATAATTTTAAGATCTTGGTATCAAATTTCAAACTTCATATCTACATTGTTAATGTATAATTATAGTGATAGCAAATTAATCATAATAGTAAATTTATATAGTGCTGATACTATAAAATAATATTCAAAAGCGCTCAACAATAAGAGAAAAATTAAAATAAGATTGAAAATGAAATATCCAAAGTATTGTTCATAAATTAAATTTAAAATTAAAACTCTACAAGTGCTTTATAATTTTTTATTTGTCTGTATCACAAGAAAGCATAGCCAACAGTACAACAGCATGGAATAACCCAGAGATACATAAGGTGGCTCCATCTTGTGTTACAATAATATTATGTATTGATAAGGAGATTCTTCTGTAAGGATACCAATACAATCTTTTTAGTGTGTCATTAAGGATACCAACATTTTAATTATCATTTGAATTAAGGTGGCTGCTACTTGTGTTACATGTAGTTTAGGAGATTCATAACAAAGGATAACTGCATATCTTTTTCTTGTGTTAGTATTTTGGTTTTGGAGTTCCATCATTAGGGATACCAACCTTTTTTTACTTATCATTTGATTTAAGGTGGCTCTTTCTTTTGTTATAATTAAGTATAGGAGATTCATCACTAAGGATACCAACATATTTGTACTTTTCATTAACCTCTTTATCTGTATTAGCTATTGCCTTAGCGACATCAATACACCTTATTTGATGAGATATCATAGCAGCCTGGGAATAGGTAGAAAGTTCAGACAGTCAAATCAACAAATCAGTGTGGCCACCTTTTAAAAATTAACCCGCACTAAACTCTGTAACACAGAAATTGGTATCATTTATACAAAAAGCCACTACAGTAGCCTAATTCTGAAGTGTATAATAATTTTTCAATTCTTTAGTCATGGTTTCATATTGCAAAGTATGTGGAAGCTTGTAGTTGTCCAGATGTTTCATCTTTAGGCAGCACACCAGGACAGATGTGTCATCTGTTAAGTTAGCAGAAGCCTACTATGTAATGTGAGACTGATTGTGGATTTAAAAAGCAATATGATTGCTAGAAATGTACCCTTTTCCAGACTCCTCACTGTGGAAAATTTGCATGATGTCAGCAAGAAATTAAATGCAAAGAGTTTTTGGGTAAACTGCAAAATGTCTAACTCCAATTCACAAGCCAGTTTTCATTGCAGAGTATGTGGAAGCTTGTAGCTGCCCAGATGTTTCATCTTTAGGCAGTGCACCAACAATGGGACAGGACAGATGTGTCATCTGTTAAGTTGGCAGAAGCCTACTCTGTACTGTGAATCTATTACAAATACTATGCACTTTGTCTATGCATGTTGATTATGGAACCACAGCTCATTTTTCCAATGAATGTTGTGGTTAAATAATCCCCCTTAGTTGTCTTTTTTTCTTTTTTTTTGAAAACCAGCTCTGGACCAGTAAATACAGTGGGTTCTACCTTTTAGATATTTATTGAAAGCAAGAAAAATGACATAATTTTACTCGATTGGAAAAGTAGAGTAGTAAGGTGTAATGAATTGAGGTGGCTCTTTCTTGTCTTACGAATTTGTTTTAATTAGGAGATTCATCACAAATGATACCAACACAATTTTTTTGTGTTACAATTTTGGTTTGGGATTTGTATCACTAGGGATACCAACATTTTTCCGTGTCATTTGAATTAAGGTAGCTTTTCCTTGTATGACAATTTAGTTTAACACAATAAGGATACCAACATCTTTTTAGCTTTTCTTTTACCTAATTTATTTTTGCCTATTTAATAAGATATCAAAGCAGCCTGAGAATAAGTACAAAGTGTGAACAGAAATTACAAATATATTATTATTACATACATTACAAATCAGAGGCTCAAAATGGAAATTACAACAAAATGATACCTGTATTAATTCCAAACTTTGTAAAAATAAAACTAAATGCTCTCCGGGGGGGGGGATGTTCATCCACCCCATGACATGTGTTTATTATTTACACCTCTTGTAGTTTGCCATGATAGACAGATTCAGCTAACGTGTTGACATCCTTGTTGCCACCCAATTCAGACCATGAAATAAATCATTTGGAAGGTTACAACTGTGCAATTTGTCATGCAACTGATTCTATGGGGGTATGTACGAACAGAACAATTGTAATCTCGTAAATGATTCATCACATGATTTGAATTGGATGTAATACAAGGATGTAAACCCTTTAGCTGAATCCATCTATTGCAAACTCTTGTTTCTTTGAAGAGCCCATTTTTCAGTCGCATGCGTTGACTTCATTTTGACGCAAACCATCCTACTTTTGATATGTAAACAGAATTGTTCTTGTGTTATAGTTTGTATCATAACAATGTCAACTACAACCCCCACTTAGCACAACTTTTAAAAAATTCCCCTAAGAGTCTCCGTGCAAAAAAAAAAAATGCCAAAAGTCAACTAAGCCCCAGTGGTGAAAGAAATCTAAATGAATGAGTACCACTAAAATTATGAGAGTGTGTACAATGTGCGAGGCATGCAAACCAGGATCCCTAACCCCAATGAAAAGGCTAACCGTAAGCTAACTTAGGCAGACCAGAGTTCCACTTAGACTAAACAGAGCGCTATTTAGACTAACCAAAGTTTAGTTTAAGCCAACCGGAATGATTCGCAAGCTATGCGAGTCAGAAACCCTAGTCCCTAGGGCTAGCCGCAAGCTACCCAAACCAACTATATGCCAACCAACCGGGGTGTTTTTTTGGATTAACCGATGCGTTATTTAGGCAAACCGAATCATGTTTCGGGTCAATCTGATCGAATAACCTAAATGTCACAAGTAAAATCACCATCATTATTGGTTAGTTATGTCTGATTTATTAGGCGTAACTGAGCCTTGTGCTACACCCAATTTATGTTGGTTGATTTTGGTTGGAAGGATGAGAGAAGAGACAGGTTTTAAGACTTATCTTTGACTTTTTGGATATTCAATTATGCCTTGCCTGGGATCTCCATGTACCTTCTTGGGTTTACAGAGCCCGCAGTCACCCGGCCATTTGCTCTCTATGCAAGATTTCTTGTTAGAAAAATTCTTGCACATCACTTCAAAGTCAGTGAAAAGTCAGGGAATTTTACCTTCAGGTTGCCGCATGAGTTTCATTAGGATTTTTTGCATCGAAAAGGCAATTTTGTTTCAAAATTACATGTAAAGCATCTTTATTTTTGTTGATTCACGGCCACAATACTCATCCCGCGGGGTCAGCGAAAATCGCTTTTCAGTTAGTGAAAAGTCGGTATTTCTTTTTATTCCGGTGGATGTGGACCCTTTGCGAGGTTTTGAGTAGTTTTGTGAACGAACCACAGCTTGTAATCGATAATATATGATTTGTTAATGTTTTGGATTGAAACGGCAATTAGATAATTTCAAAAAAGGACGTATAAATATGAGAATAACGGTTGTAAATTCATCGAAGATGACCATATTTGCATAGATGGCAAATGTGAGATTACACGCGCAAATTTGTTGGTTTGATAGTAATACAAATTTATACAATACAATATTACAATACAATATTTATTTGCCATATACGACATTTACACATGGAAAAAAAAAAATGAAGAAAATTGATGACAGAAAATAAATGGCGAGAAAACCTGAAAGAAACCACGAGGCTTATAACAAGTCAGGCTTTCTCACTTAAAATAACTAATCTTATATTAGAATTACAATATGGACTTATGGTAATTAACTTTGACCGCGCACACGTACACACACACACACGCACACACATATTAACTAAGTTAGTTAAGAATTACTGCCTTACAGAAGCTAATACTTAGAGAGAAGAAATTCCTTAAGCTTTCTTTTAAAAGAAGCGGAGGAGGGAGAACTAGTTATGTCAGAATTTAACGAATTATAAAAGTTTGGACCTTGAAAGTAAATTGAAAACTTCCTGGTGTTCGTTCTGCACAGTGGCAAACGGAAGGACTGAGCATTCCTAGTATTATAATTGTGGATTTGACTATTCAGTAAAAAAAAGTTATTGAATTTGGAAGGAGTGTAGAGTTCTTGAATGAAAACATAAAAGTACCTAATTGAAACGAATGGATATCATGAAATTTTAAGAGTTTAAGTTCCTTTAAAATAGGGCCAGTATGGGCAATGTATGTAGAATTGCTTACTATTCTTAACGCACGTTTCTGTAAGGTTACAATTCTTTGAAGGTTTGACTTATAGGTACCAGCCCAAGCTAAATTGCAATAATACAAATATGGAAGGATCATAGAATTGTATAAAGTACGAAGGGAGTGAGTAGAGAGAAAAAACCTAGATTTATGAATAATACCTATAGATTTGGATAATTTATTTGCTGTTAAGGATATATGCGATTTCCAGGTCAAATTGTCGTCTAATAAAACACCCAAAAACATGGTCTCAGAAACACGAAGAATAGGCTGCTCATTTATGAAAACTTGAAATTCAAAGGATTGCTTCTTTTGCCAAAATTTAGTGTATATGAGCATATTTGCTCCTTTAGCAAAACATGAATAAAACACGTGCAAATGTTTTTATTTGAAGCCTCGACAACATTTGTAAAACAATGATGCAAACAAATGGATTTACACCATATTTGCCTACATTTTGTGCTGTAAGCAAACCTAATACTTTGCAAATAGAGCAAATCAGTATAAATGTAAGTCAAATTTGTTGATTTGCGGAGGTATCAAAAACAAAGCAAAGATAAAGTAAATATTATATTTACTTCACATTTGCGCGCAAATACAACGGGAATAAATATCTGTATTTGCATCATCATTGCTTTCATTGCGAATTTAGGTCAAATCTGGAGGCCTAAATTTGCATCATATTTACTTCAGTTGCAAATCTGTTTAAATCCAATTTTTCGTGCAGTGTCGAAAAAAGGAGGTACTTAATAAGCTAGAATTAAACTCGGCGACGCCTCAACAAACTCTTACGCGCCTTTGGTGCTCTAACTTCCTGCGTGATTCATATCCCCATAAACCCACAGCTGACGCATGAAACAGCTGTTAGGAGAATAAGAATTAGTTTAGCTCCTTCAATTTAGCCTTTTTAACCCGCCCACAGGCCATTTCTTCAGTCTACCTTAGACTATTCACACTTTTGATTATTTACACGAGCATTTCAATTGGTGTTGAATATTGGCTGAGCGGAAAGTGCATCTTCAGGTTTTAAAAATATATCCATACTTCAGGAGCAAACTTTTTATCAAAGAATTTAAAGGATCGTGTGCGGTTGAAAGTAAATATTAGAATTTAGGGAGACTTATAGAAGATAAGGCTTTGACGATGCACACGGGAAAGGAAGCCCACAGTGCTCATGATTATTTTTAATAGTCTGAAACATTCCTTCTGAACAGGGCTTGAGCTCGCGGCAATCCAGTTTAGCATAGAGAGTTAATTATAGGCCATTGTTTCTCATATCAAACTAAAATTAAAAAGGATTCCAACCTTCCTATTTTAAAAAATACAGCTATTCTCACACTCCTTTGGCTTACAAATGGATGGAAAAACGAAAACAAAGACAAGAGAGGCATTATCATGTTTGCCAAACAGTTGGTTGATGAGAAAATCACAACGCGCGCGAGGCGAAAAGAGCTCGAGTAGACACACGCGTAAAGCGAGGAAAAGAGCGCGACTCGCGTCTTTTTCGTGTCTTTTCGACTTGTGAAGAAAAAAAACCACTTCAGACTTACATTTGATAAAATAGACGCCTACTTTAATGTTGTTTAATCTGTGCCACTCTACAAACAATTATGATAGGTGGGAATGTAACAATGATATTTTGTGGGAAAAAAGTTTCTCTCAACCTTATTCAGATGTTTTGATGATACTTCACATTAGATAACTGATACCAATACGATCGCACCAACAGCTTTGAGATAACTTGTACTGTATTAAAGATGTCTTAAGAAATTGATTCAGTCTCTTGAAACCTACCTTGATTATTTACGCTTTCCATCACTTTTTTTATCAGTATAGTGGACTTAGTTTCAGTTAGTATGAATCTGAGTGCAGGTAACGAAATACTTTCCCCGCGATACCGAAAAAACGAGGCTCTAATAAGGCAGTTTGATTGGTTCATACGTATGATTTTTGGAGGACGGGCGCATAGATGACGTTTTATCATATCCTTACTCGTTTAAGACTTAAAAGCGGACAGGCTCATGATCGTATCTAATAATAACATAAATAGTTCACGCTACGTGCTACCCAATTAACTCACCACCTCCATGTATCTAACAATTAGATTGTGACGGAGCTAGATTTCTATCCCGTGATGTAGTTGATGAGGGCGAAGTCGAATCTCTTATCCGACATAAAGAAATCTAAAACTCTTATTCTAATTGTTTTGCTACATATCTACCAGTCTTCCAAAACTTTTCAACAAGACAGGTTCACGTTTTCATTTTATTTTGTTTCAATCACACAATGATAATCCGCTCATGCATTTTACTCTCTTAAGCGTAACCAATCAGATTGCAGCAGTTTTGATAGAGCGCTAGTAGATTCATTCTAAAACAGAATATCCAATCAGACTGCAGTATCGCGTGGCACAAAATTTTTACGAACAGCTAACCGTTTACTGCGTGCAATGTTCACTTTTCGGTGTTCTCTTGCTCGAATTCATTAACAAACAAATTTCTTTATCTTAAGAGTTATCGACTTTTATCGTATTTAATGTAAGGTTTATACTGGGGAATAACTCTGGTATAAACACTCACGCGACGTGTTTAAACCAGTTACTTGCTGGCAAAAATATCTTGTAGAAAATAATTTTAAAAAAACCTGACAATCTACAAAGCACTCTAAAGGTTACAGTCCTTATTACTATTAAAAAACGTTGATAGTTCTTCCCTATTACGGGGTTTTGAAGAATTCTATAAACTAGCAACTTCCTATCTAAACGAATTCTTCATTACAAAACTCGGGGAAGCTAAGATCAACACTCTGTCGCTTAAGTTGTGTTACAAGATCATTTGCAAAGATACTCTTGCAACATTGACAACTAACTGATTATCTTATTTTTCAATGTTCATTATCATTATCTTGCTTTTCAATGTCTACAATTTCTTGTAACTGCTTATAAAATATTGATCTGCCATACCCTTGAAAAAATAATCAATCGTCTTACTTTTTTAACTTACATTTCATTTAAAACCAACAGCGAATTGCAATATTCTGAATGTAGCAAAACGAAGGAAACATCACACTCTGAATGAAAATATAAGAGATAACAGAGAAAAAGTTATGTAGCCCCTCAAAGACACTTTTAATGGGGGGTCGTACAAAGACCTTGCTTTCTGAGAGTTTACTTTTTATTTCGGCTGCTTGATGAAAACTTTATAGGATAAAGCCTCCATAGCTCCTAGCTCACACATGTTCAGAAGTACTCCGTAGAACTCAATTCCAGATAGGTATATTCCATATTTGCCAGAGGAATTAACACCTGTCTGGAAAATTCGAAAAAAACGAAAAGGCCCTATTTCCCCTTTGACAGACCATTTGCCTGTACAAAATGGAGTAGGGTCTTTGAACTGTGGATCTTTCTTGTCGTGAATAGTTTCAATGTTTTCCCATTGCTTCCCATCATTGGATCCCTTCAGCTGCCACTGGGTTAACAGTGACTCTTTTTCTCTTTTGCCGTGCCTTAAAGCGTAGTGTGTGATCACAAGCCGATGGTTTGAGCCCAGGTCAATAGACCACCACGAATTTTTCTTTTCTTCTGTCCCACTGACGGTGCCCATCTTATGGTTTAATACGTCAGCCCCATCTCCAGGGCCATCGGAAGATCTGGATGCAATCAGTTCAGCGCAGGGTGCATCTCTCAATCTTTGTTTTAGGAAGCAGATGACACCAGTGCATATGCCGGCAAATTCCTTTCCAGCTGGTAAGAAAACGCCTAAGTGGAAACGAAAGTGAGATAGATAGCGTTAAAAGAAAAAAAATACCTTGCCTCCCCTCCCCATACGTATATAATTCAACATAAGCGAAAAATGTGCTTAACGAAAAAGAAGGGGTTAAAGAAAAACTAAGCTAATATGACAGATACGTAGATAGAGATAGCGCAAGGCTCTACCACTTTATACTAAAACAGATTGGCCAAAGATTGAAAGTCAATACTATCTTTTAAAAAGTTCTTTCGTGTACTTACGACTTTGGTAATTTATGTACGTCTTGAGCTCCTCTTGTAGCCGCTTGCACTCAAACTCAGAGTTGTTTGCTTTTTTTTTCAGCCTTTCTATTTGAGTCGACAGCTCTTTATTTTCAGTCTTCAGATCGGTTTGACCATTTAACGTCATTTCGAGCTCCTTTTTCTCGGCTTCAAGCTTTTGAATCTGCTCCACCATTGTTTTGTTTGGTTCAATGGTATCGTTTCTTTCCTCTTTAACTTGTTTATTATTTGTTTTTAACTTTCTTTTCTTCTCCAGTTGTCTTTGGTTCCTTTGGTCTGATTTACCAGATTTGGTTTTCAGTGAATCTCTTTCTCCTTCCACGTCGTTGAGTTCCTTTTCATATCCTGGAAATCCTGCAAATCGTTTAGCAAACGTGTTGCAGAGATTGCATAACATAAAACATTCTCCTAACAAAAGTTGAGTTTGACCTCGGTATTAATTGAAAAATTAAAATGTAAAACTTTCTTTGAGTAAAACCGCGATGCCAGTAGGCTCAGTCACTATGACGACATAGAAATCATCACTTCTAACGGTGATAAATTCAGTTATGTTTTCGAAACAAGGAAAATTAGGCCGGTATTCGATCAACATCTGTAAGAAAATAACGTTCACGGTTATCTCTATCGAACACTTTAGAGAAAAAACGAAGGTAACTTATTTTATACCCAAAGATGAAGACGAAAATGACGAGGTTTTAAACCCAATCAACGTTCGCATAAATAATTGACATATAATCTATTGAACTTCGTGCTAAAAAATTTTAAATGAACTTAAAAAAGGATCAGCGAACTACAGTATCACAAAGTGATTCATTTATAGTCCAATTTCAGTTGAAATCTTAAGATGGGTGTTCAGAGAATGCTGCATTTCGGTATTTCGTGCACACTGAACATGCGCATAGGAATGTTGAGAGATATGTTTTGAAATTAAAACGAAAGTTTTTAATTCGAATCAACTCGTTTTCGTTTATCTCACTCCGTCGACGTCTCTCGGACAGAACATTACAAATTTTGTTGATAATAATTCGTGTAGAATAAGCCTACCGTCAAGCAAAGGTCGTATAATAGGTTCATTGTATCTTTGGTTCTGCCAATCCCTCCGTATTGTGTCTCTCTGGATTGGATCTGCCGATGTGGTTTCCCCCTGTTGGCTCTCATTTGGTTAATCTGATGCATTCCTGTCGGCTTCGAATGACATTCCAACCACCGCGTTTTGGTTTTCAGAGACTATTTTGATGCTGTCCTGTACAACACGCAGATCCTGGTCAATCCTGCCGCAAATTTCTTCCAATCGAGTCGATCTTTGCATTGGATCCTGCTCGTCAAGCAGTTCAATTGTTGTCTCTCTGCGTTGCACCCTAGTTTCCATGTGCTGTCGCTCTTCATCTCCCGTTGCTGTTTGTATTTTGTACACGATTTCTTTTAATTCTTTGAGTTCTTTCCGTGTTTCCTCATGAATCCGTTGCACGTTTTGTATTTCTTCCTTTAAAAGTTTAACGTCCTTTCGTAAATTTCCACTTGCAATTCGAACGGAGCTCAATCCGGCCTCCACCTTTTCTGTATCTAGTTAGATAGTGGAAGGAAATTTGCAAATGTTAACCGAAGGTAACAAGGTTACAGTAAGCTCTTTCTTAAATAATAAAGTAAAAAGTTTTCAGGAAGGTAACTTAATACTGGGTTAAAATAAGATTCCTGTTTGCACTGGCATTTTATTGTCCTATGGTTTCGCTACATTCAGGCTCTAAGCCCCTGCTGTAGTACTTTAACTTTGCAAAAATTTCGAGCCGCGAGAAATTTGTCTCTATCCTTGGATATTTACACATAGAACCTTCCCGAAATATTAATTTTCCAGTTTTCTCTGTAAATTCCCACTTAGTGCCCGAGCGCAGCTTAACCTTTTCTTCACATTTCCCGTTCCTAGATGCAAAGAGGCAAAAGATTTGCAGATGTACACGGTAGTAAGGTTGCTGGCTCTTCAAGCTGTTAATATTGCCCTAACAATTACTCAAATGGTTACTTCAATTATTTGAGGAGATCTAACTTAAGTTTAGGGGCTTTAAGCTTCCACGACAATGCTACAACCTGAAAGACTGTGCGTAGACACGCCGATGGACCTCGCAGCCTTTTACCTTCTGCAAGCAAAAAGTCCATTTGTTTTAACCTTGGTTTTCTTTAACTTAAGCCTACGTTTAATTAGATACCACTTTCTTAGTGCACCGCATGTGCCTACCGTTGTACAGTTGTAGAGTATTGCAGTAAAAAGATCAACGTGGTATAAAAGTAAAGGTGTTAATGAAAGCTCTTGTCAATGCCAAAATTTTGACAAAAGGAGGATTTGGTTAGAATAGAGTTTGTACACTGGTAAACTGACAGGCCGAGGGCAGGTAAATTAATCGAATAGGTATATATATTTAATGTGCGTCAAATGTATTTAAATACAAAACTTCGCTAACATTCGCAAGCCATTCTTCCCTAGCACGATGGATATACCTACTCCTTTCGAGTCCGAAAGTTTGAGCTTAAGCTTTGAGCCCTGGCCGCGTCAACTTATTGTTGTTCTTCTGTTGTGGTTTCTTTTCAATTTTTTCTCCTTATAATTTACATTCTTCTTCAAAGGATATATTTTCAAGTGTTCAGAGTAAAACGCACACGTGAGAAAGTTTGACGACATATGTTTTACCTTCAAATCGATAACAATGTCAAAATGCAGAGATAAGACCCTGAGAAAACATCGAACTAAACCCGACAAAACCAAAAATGAATCCCAAGAAACCTGATCAGATTCGTTCAATGATGGCCAGTGTCGGAGCCGAACCAGGACGGGTCACAAGAGACTTTATGAGAGTCTCATGAAACTCCGCCATTTTGAAAACCGTGAAGGGCTTGGGGAAGGTTTACGGACTTAAACGACACAGTACTACATAGTGCCTCCGGCCATCCAAGAAGGAAGGCACAATTAAAACTGTTCGCGGCGCGATCTTCATCCAAAATGAAGCCTCCTTGACAAGGCCACGAAGAATTTCGTTCGAAGATCTTTTCCTACATAGGTGTTCAGTTTTTTCGTTAGGAAAGTAAGTAGATCTAGATAAACCTAGTATTGAGAGATTTCCTTCACAAGAGGAGATTACATACCGAGCAGTTTTTCGACGACGTCTTTCCTATCTATCTCGTTAAGAGCATTTATAAGGATTTCAAGTGTTGCTCTATTTCCGTTTTTTTGTTTCCACTTTTGAAGCACTTTCCGTGCCCTTTCACGGCGTTCGCTGAGATCAGCCTCAATAATATTCATCAACGCTGATTCAAGCCGTAAGACTGTGCCCAGATCTCTCCAGTCTGCGCCCACTTTACCACATATCGACCGTATTTGGATTTCAGTGACAGGAGCCTCTTCAAATGCTATATCACTAGAGGTGGCTGCAAAACAAGTAAACATCAGTTGAAAAAAAATTGTGACTTAAAAAGAGCCGCAATAATTATAACTCCTAATGCCATATTTCATAATAATAAGTAACGACTTGGAAGGGATAATTATGAGTAAAACTGATACCATTCTATGAATTTATGAACATAATAACCTTCATTTCTGGCTTCTGAATCATCCATCCGTCCACGAGAATCAGTTTTAATCCCGTTTCTGGTTATTTCCAGCTTCTGACTAAGCTAAATTAGCTGCTGGAAAGAAAAAAACACTACCTGTCAGGATTGAAGTTAACCCACAATCAGGCCTTCTTTTTTCTTTCAAGGAATGCATTGCAACGCGTTGTCCTACTCCAGAAAAAGGTGATACGAATTGTATCAAGACGTATTTTCATCGCTCATACTGAACCTATATTTTAGCAGTTGAAAATTCTCAATCTATTCAATACATATCGATTCCAATTAGGAAGATTATGTTTTTGTCCAAGACAGGCCGTGTTCCCGATGCTCTTCAAAGATTACTTTCGTTTTCGAGTAGCATTCATTATTATTACACCAAACAATGCAATCCCTTACATACCCCCTTGCAGAACAAATACTTGACAATTAATTTCACAAACCATTCAAGTTTTCCCGCTTCAATGGTTACGAATGATTGATGATGTCGGGCGTCCTGTGTGATGCTAAGTATCATCTTTGAATAACCATAAATTGCTTCAATTTCTTCAACATTCTGGAGCCCTGTTGGTTTTGATTTTTCATTTCATCACAACTTCTCATTCTTTGAAACATTCTCGCCTCTCTTTATGAAACGGAGGAGTCAAACTTGCCATGATAATTAGGAACAAAGTTTATTGAACGAGTTGCTATGGTTTCTTTTCGTTAGGAAAGTTTTCCGTGTATTATAGCAATTACGTCTACATGATCAATCAATTCAATCGCAGCATTTGTCTTCTCCTAGCTTCAAGTTACATTTCTCAAAGTATTATTTGATAAGGTATAGCAAAGAAAATTCGGCAACGAAAAGCATATCTTTGCTGAGCTTTGCCCGTTGCTCGCAGTATCTGTTACGTGTAGATATTGTTGCGGTGCAGTAATCTTTTGTTTGTTGACATTTTTTAATTGGGACCACGAAGCATGACCGGAAGAGAATTAATGGTAGAACATACAGCCGTATTATTTAAGTTGTCTTTGAATGCCATTGCGGGGGTTTTTCCATAAATACTAGTTTGAAAAATAAAATCGTGGAACCAGAACCGACTTTTACTTGGGTGTTTGGGGTCCTCTCCGATCTCGAACATACACATTTTCTTGGATGAAGTCTCTACTTCCCTGTCTTGAAAAATAAAATCGTGGAACCAGAACCCACTTTTACTTGGGTGTTTGGGGTCCTCTCCGATCTCGAACATACACATTTTCTTGGATGAAGTCTCTACTTCCCTGTCTTGAGACACGGATGTTTTAAAAGGATGATAAGGTTCTCTTCATGCTGATTATAATTGAAAAAATGTTACTCTAGAGAGTCTAAGACTACTCTTAAGCTTAGGTCGCTATAACTTGTCTCTTATGACTTTTTCCCCTGCCTGAGGTTGTCCAAACGTCAGTGACTTTAACGTTATCGACAACAGTCTTTTTGAAGACTACTCTCCCTAGTACGATCAGACTACACGATCGACAGTTACTACAAGGTTCAAACCATATACTGACTATTCTTAAGGTAAGGCTTACCTTTGAAATTGATCCTGACGAATTGCGCACCACAAAAGTAACTTATAGAGAACGCTTATGGCACTGATTTTCAGTTGAGATAATTAAACTCACATGATGCCCTTACCGCAGAATGCTGTTATAGCCGGCCAGGAGTCGAGTGGAGGGAACTCAAGTACCTATAGTAAATTATGGCAGATTTTGGTATATTTGAAGAGATAATTTGCATTTGAATCAATGCATTTCTACCAATTCAGCAACTTCGTTCCCCAGATCTACTATCTTTCTATTATCACACACCGTCGAGTGGAGGGAACTCAAGGACCTATTGTAAACTCTGGAAGATTTTGAAATATTTAAGAGGTAATTTGCACTTGAATCAATGCATTTCTGTGATTCAGCAACATTGTTCTCGAAATGAGAAATTTTAACAAAGTAACTAGCTCATAAGTTCATATCTTGGTGAAGACTTGCCTACTTCACTGGTCAGTTTGAAAATGCAGACAATTCGCTTCAGTTTTTTATGAAAGATGATCAGGATTACTTGATAACATACTCTCTCAGGTGTGTAATTACACAGACACACTCAACCATTTTTCCCATCAAACACTGACAAGTGTGTTTAAGTTTTTACTGTCGTTCATTCAACTTCCAGAGAACAATAAACAATTATTGGATGAGGTTGAGCATGATATCATGAACTATCAAAGCCGAGGTATGAGTTTTCTTCCTAAGCTGAAGGCTGAGGCAGATATAACGCAAAACCCGAATTTAGTAATTGTTTTATTATACATCATTTAAACAATCTGTGTAAGGAAATATTACTCTCTGAGTTGCCAAAGTTTGGAAACACTACTCGGACGAAGGGGCTTAGAAACTAGGCATTGCCCCAAGATCCCATGTACAAACTATCTAGAAACTTGGAAAATTTGGTTTTAACCAACTGCGTTGGTAATGTATATCGCCCATCGTAAAAAGTTTACGATGGTCAGCTTACATTATCTGAACAATTAGCTTCTTCAGGTGTTCGGATTTCAGGCCTGGTGTGTGACTGCAATATGATCTCATTGATAGTTTGGGATGACATGTTCGGTGCAGAAATTGATCTATGTCTTAATCTATATATTTACTGAACAGACCCGCGGCAACATGGAATCTATTTGTTTTATATGATAAAAAAGGTAAATTATTGTTAGCCTGCAGAGCAGGCGTACTTTTGCGAGCAAGCGAATTTCATCAACGAAAATTATGGCCGCCGTCTTTGATTGAAATGACAGCAGAAGGCAGAGGAGAGAAAAAAATCTCTACTAAGGGGACGGTTGACGGTCAAAAAATAAGGAGAGGGGTGGGGTGGGGGAGTGAAGATTACTTTTACCGTCCACTCTAACTCCAAATAAAACATGGCCGGTCGGATAGACGATCGCGAGCTTATAACGTTAACTCACCCTAATGAAACGCCTGCACTACAGACTAAATTATTGTTAATGGTGACGACCTCTAAACTTCTGTCCCCCAAAAGATCATAAGCAAGAACCTGTCAAAATGCGTGTATAATCAAGTGATCTTTTACTTCCCCACTTAAAGTATATCCACTGAAAGCTTGTCAGAAATACTAATGGGGAGGTTTTTGAAAAATAGGCTGACAATCCACATAACACTTTATAAAACTACGTTCCTTATTATTAACAGATTATTAACAGTTTGGTAATTCTTCCCTTCTCTCCAGGTTTGGAAAATTCAATAACCCACTAATTTCCTAGGTGAATGAGTTCTTCGTAAAAAAAACTCGAGCACACGAAGATTGACACTCTATCGCTAAGGCTCATGTGTAAGATGATTGTTTACATGCCTTACTTACAAATTTATGGTGACAACAATGGGAAGATATTAACCGTTAGTCGTAAAAGCCATCACTCCATTGAGAACCTCCAATACTCTCAATGGCGCAAAACTAAGACTCAAAGACACTTTTAATAAGAAGTCTTACACAGACCTTGCCTCCTGAGAGGTACTATTTTTATCTCCACTACTTGATGAAAACTTTAAAAGTTAAAGCCTTGGTAGCTGTTAGGTCTTATATGTTCAGAAGTACTCCGTACAGCTCAATTCCAGATAGATGTATTCCATATCTACCAGAGGAATTTCTACCCGTCTGGAAAATTCGAAAAAGGCGAAAAGCCGGTATTTCCCCTCCGACAGACCAGGTACCTGTATAAAATGGAGGAGGAGCGACGAACTGTGGATCCTTCCCGTTGCAAATAGTTTTAAGTTCTTCCCAGTTTTTTCCATCATAAGATCCCTCTAGTTGCCAATCGGTAAGTGCTGACTCCCCATGCGTTTTGCCTTGTCTCAAAGAGTAGTGTGTGATTATGAGTCGATGGCTCAAGCCCAGATCAATGGACCACCATGAATTTTCTCTTTCCGCTGTTCCACTAATGGCGCCTTTCTTATGGTTTAATATGTCACTTGCTTCTCCCGGGCCATCAGAAGATCTAGAAGCACGCAGCTTTACAGAAGCGTCTCTCTTTAGGAAGCATATGACACCAGGGCAGTTGCCGGCAAATTCCTTTCCAGTCGGTAAGAAAACGCCTGAGAGTAAAAAATAAATAAATAAAATAACGACGTAGCCTCTTTCCTCATCATCTGGCATTTAACAACCATCTATTATTACGTTTATCAGGTTATCAATCTATCATTTCGTTTCTATATTTATCGATTCAATTGATCATTTGTTCATTTATTCAGTTTTGGAGATAATAAAATGTCTAAGAGTCAGCGCGCACTCTGATCTGTCACAACCTGTTGTGACAGTTAACCAAGAAATTGCAAACCATTGCAGTTAACCCAAAGCCATATCACGAAAGCAATCGAAGGTAGTTTCTCTTGGTCACCTCTTGGTCACTATTCTTCTACTTACGCCTTGCAAATTTTTTTTCGTTTCTCTCAGAAAAATTGTAAGGGAGTATTACCTAATAGTAAACTGATCGACTCGATGCTTCAACACCCCCCTCCCCCTGCTCGGGTGAAAGGAATTTGAACCTGAAGATATCAAGTCTTTCTGGCGGAATACAAGTGTTTTATCTTGAAATATGGAGGTGTTTTAAGGTAATGAGTTCACTTTCGCCAGCGAATGGCTCAGAAGAAAATGTTTACAAGGTCCATGCTTTAAATGTTGGTCAATATGTGGAAAGTCACGGTCGCTGATTTAGATTTGCCTTTTACAAAAAGAAGTGATAGTCAAATTCGCCTTTGGGAAGGACCGTCTGAACACAACTTTGGCCCCGGAGGGCCGAAATTCGAACAAACCAATCTTCAAAAGTTTAAATCACCGGGGGGTTGCCCGGGGGGAGGGGGGAATGTTGAAGGTTGGAATTGATCGACGTATAAATCGTGAGGAAATAGGGTCTATTATTGATTAAAAGTCGAACTACTGTCCTGTTCACTTACCATCAAACATGTCATTTTTAATGGTAAATGAATGTTATTTTATTGTGTTAGGGTTAACACATGGCCAAACAACCTTAAAATGAAACAAATTAGCAGCGGATATCACAGCACATTTATCTTAGTTCATATGTACTTACGACTTCGGTATTTGCTGCTCTTTTTAAGCTCCTCTTGTAGCCTCTTGCATTCTGACTCGAAGCTTTCCACTTTTTTGTTGACCTCCTCTATTTGACTCGACAGGTCACCATTTTGAGTCTTTAGTTGATCCAGCTCCCCTGGATCTGTTTGAAATTGTAACTTCAATTTTAGTTCCTCCTTATCGGCTTTTAGCACTCCAATCTGTTCCACCATTTTTTCATTTTCTTCCACAAGATCTCTTTTCTTCGTCTTAATCTTTTCATTTGTTCTTTTTAACTTCTCTATGTGATCTAGTTGTATTTTATTCGTTTTCTCTAAGTCAGCGATTTTGGTGTTGTTTTTTCTGATTATCTTTTCCTTCCTTTTCGTGTCCTTCCTTTTCTTTTCTTTTCTTTTCTGTTTTCGTCGTCCGCGCGTATGCCCTCGAGTTGGCCGATTTTGTTTTTTAATGTGTCTCTTTCTGTTTTTAAATCGTTGACATCCTTCTCCAAATTAGGGCATCGCGAACATATATGCAATTCTAGATAAACAACCTTCAGATTAGAATAATTCAATTTAATTCAATTCAAACATTACGTCAATGACAACTTAGGAACAAAACTTTTAGTGAAATAGTGATCGGACAACAGCCTTGGATGAAGGAAAAAAGACAAACTAGAATTACAATATAAGACTATCAAACACTGAAATAAATTGAACAAGATAAGACCACTCACTAGTGCTGTAAAAAGATTAAAATTTTGGAAAAGCAAAGAAATATGAAACATTGACATTCCCAGTCCCCAACGGTAGTAACTTTTCTAAACCGATTAATAAATGTCAACACACTTGGCATACTTTCCTAACGAATGTCGTGCTTCATATTTTATAAAATGAACTAAGAAAAAAATGTTGTTACTACAATATCGCTTGAGTATGAATGCTTACCGTTATACCATTGTTGTACTTCCACTCCATCACGTCTTTGGCTCGCTTGATCTCTCTCAATGGTGTCTTTCTGGATTCGATCTGCCAATCTGATTTACTCCATTCAAATGTCTCTCGTTCCCTTCATCTGATGTATTGTTTTCCAGCTCAGATGATCTACCGACTGGCATTTTCTCTTTTCTCTCTTGCATCACGCATGGATCCTTGTCGATCTCGTCGGAAATTTTCCCCGTACAAGTGATCTCGTGCGTCGGACCTTACTTTAGGCTTTTTTCAGTTAACTTTTCCATCTCCAGCCGTTCAACCTTTGCCTCTAGAAATTGCAACCTTTCTTCTATATTTATTTTCCCTGCCTTCACGTTTTCCGTTCCTGCATTGAAAGAGACAAACGAGTTTCAGATCATTACCAAGGATAGTATGGTTATAAGCTGTTTACTAAAAAACTAGATAAATATCCTCACACTAGTAACATCGTGCTCGATTACGGAAAGGATTTCTGACTTGGGGCTATTTTCATGCTCGCATAAGATTTGTTAATAGTGAAATAGTTTAATGTTTTGACGTAAAACTTGAGCTCATAACCTTGGTAAAAGCTGTACGTTAAAAATCCTCACGAGCCACTACTTTCAACAAAAATTATAACTATCATTTTTTATTCTTATATCTAAGTACGCTCAAAATCTGCCTGTTCTTAACTGCGTTAGAAATGAAACCTCCTGCGCTTATTTCTCGGAAAAAGTTGGACTTGGCCCTCAGTGAGTTCCCATGAAAACAGTAGATTACGCACCAACTAGCTTTTGGGCGGCTTTTCCCATCCCTATCTTCACTAGAGCATCTACAAGATTTCCTACAGTTGCTTCATTTGGGTTGCTCTGTCTCCATTTATCGACCACTTCCCACGCTCTATCGCGGTTTGAGTTGCAATCAAAACTAAGATTACGAACCACAGGCGATCCAAGCCTTAACTCAGCACCCAGGTCTCTCCAGGCTGGACCTACTTCATTGCTTATCAACGATATGTGTCTTTGTGTGACAGGTTCTTGTAAACTACCCAAGGTGTCTGCAAAAAAAATATGTATCTTATTGAAAAAAATATCCGTCGCTTGAAAAAAATTTAAAATTTAATTTGAGTAAAAAAGCATTGACAAAAAGTACAGGAAGGTTAAGAGCCGCAGAAATTATAAGTCTGAGTGTCATACTGAATTGTCAAGAGGATAATTGGTAAACCAAAAGTCCATTTATTAAATGAGAAATTGAAGAACCTTCATTGGTGGTGACTGAACCATTCATGTTTCTCCAGGAAGACCGTTGTCTGAATGCTGTTAAACTGAGGCAATTTCCAAATTCTCACTTGGCTAAATCAGCTAAAGCAGACATTAAAAAAAATTGTGGTTACCATTTCTATTGTTATTACTAAACAAGCGGGCTAACATAGCAAATACAGGTTCTGATACCCATTTAACATAAAAAGTACTATGACTTGCTATTTCGTCCTTGAAACCTGTTGGAACACGCCTGTATTTATTAAGGCAATACACTATGAGGAGCAGTGTTCCTCACATTTTTACCTTAGTAAAGCAGCTAAAATAATATGAAGAACTTAGGGTTACAATGAGCCATAAACTGCTTAGTAGGGTCTCTACTTCAGTTCTTCCGATTTTCTCGTTATACTTTTCAGACATTGTTTGCAAAATAACCTCCCTCCTGAGCGTAGAGAACTTTGGCATATTTTCGGTATTTAAGTCGCAAAATGAGTCTGGCATAAGTTGAGTTATAGGACAATGAAACTAACTAAGTTGCCAAACTAATTTCATCAAAATAAGCTCAGTCCTCCAAAAACTAAACAAAAATATCCATCCCATTATTAAGACAATTTTTTTTTCAAAAATTTAACCGGCCCCCAACTTGGCCCAAATCATTAGATAAGCTGATGAAATTGTAACAGTTGAATGGCGAAAGGAAAATCACCTGAACTAATCATAACCATTACAATTTCATCAAATATGATTGGTGCACTAACTGCTTTGTTCTTCACCAATTATTTTTTAGAGTTGTAATCAGACAATGTAATTGGACAATTGGCTGTAATCGGACACCTGTAATCGGACAGTTGAAGCAGCTAATCGTCCTGGGGAATTTCTAAAATGGACGAATTTTAACTTTAAACATTGTCTTCATTGTAGATATTTGCTCTAAACGTGTCTTTTTTTTCAGAAATTGTAATGGTTATGATTAATTAGTAATAGGACTTCGTGTAATCCAATTCTGTCTGTAATCATACTCGGTGCCGTAGCTCACCAAAGTGAAGGAAACTGGTATTTTTGAACCTTCATTTACACTCAGTCCGTTGACAATTATGTAAAGCCTAAGTGTGTGCAAATGTCAGCTATAAAGTAATTTAGAGTTAATAATTCACAACTCGCTCTAAATTAGTACGTACATGAAGTATAATTTTAGTAAATTGATCACAGTCAACTCTCAAAACATCTTAGGGATCGGCTTTAGCTGTGTGTCTTAGAGCATAATTAGCCTGTAAGTTCGTGTACTTAAAAGCAAGCCAGGTAATTTTACTGAGACCGGCTAACAATAGAAGCTATCTCGCAAAGGTTGCCAATAGGGAGAGGAGACTCGAGCACTCAAATCATCTGTGACTAATTTGACATATTTAACCTCATGACGAAGACTGGTGTAGGTGTGTGTCTGTGGGTGAGCTCTTTCTTTTTCGGTTTAAAAAGAACGCCAAAATGACAATGTTTGTTTGCTACTCATTGACAAGTTCACACTAAGATGTGTCCTTTCCTTTCTTTCGTACTTAGCCTCAACTGTGAGGTACCCAAACACGATTTGGCTAAGTTTAAATCATCACATGTTTTTCAGTTTAATGGCGCCCATTTACATTTTGCCCAAGGATGTTTCTTCAAACAGATGACCAGTTATTGAAATCATGTGACATTTCTAAACAAACCTCCGATACTTTAAGAAGTTTTAAAGAACTTGCAGAAAAGTGTAGACAGAGCGTTTTAAAATCATGCGGTTTTGACTTGAAATTTCCGGTATGCTCCTCATATATCAACATAGTTATCAGAGATAGGAATAAAAACGTTTTCGAGAGGATATTTCAAGGCTGCGCATGGATACGAATTTTATTTTCGAATATTGATTATATCTCGATCACAAGTGGGTGAAGCGAACGAGCGAGAGATATTTTCAACACGGGTAGAAAAATTCATATTCACCAGCAGATTTGTAATATGTTCTGTTTACACTTACTCGGATACTAATTGCATATTTAAATAAAAAAAAAACTTTAAGACGCCTCCTGTCAAAACCGAATGCCAATATTATTTGCATCTGCTTAACTACTAATACTGAGCCCTTTAGAGCTTTGTGGTGAGTTAGGCCATGAATAAGTTCGTGTGATATGCGTTCTGCATACTTCGGAGTCCGATGGTCGGGAGTTGGATTTCTCTTGACGACATGTTCGTGAAAAGGCGAATAACATCAATCTTCGTTTTCTTTGAATACTTTTCTGCTGCGAACTGGCTCGTTGAAACAAAATTTTGGATAAGAGGCGCACTGAGATTAGTATTCTAAAACAAGAGTCGGAAATCAGCCAAGAAACGGAAATTAGACAAGACAGAGAAAATAAGTTCGTAGCCAAGCACTTCTGCTTTGTTTCATCATCAGATTTGATGGCAGAAGCCAGACAAACGAAATGAAGAACTATCTGTGAGATAATGAACAAGATAATAACTTACCTTGTATCTTTCAGTCAACAGTCGAGGACAATTTGTCTTCGAAGCAAATTTTTCGAGAACATGCGCAGTCAGCAATACTTACGTAATCAGTGACTTTTCTCTAACAGCAGTTATAATAAAGTTCGGCTATAACGCGCGTTGTCATTGGTTGAAAGAGCGTGCTCTATGAGAGTATAGAGCATAGAGCTGAGCTAAAGCTGTCACGCCATCTGCCATATTGTAGCATGTTCGACCTTTTCCGGGACTTCTTTTTAGCTTTTTTCCGATAATTGAAGGTGAAATTTCGGAACAAGCGAGCCGGCAAGTAGCAACAGAAGAACCAAACAAACGTTTGTAAACATACCAGGCGCCGTGATTTACGTTATTAAAACGTGAGCAGATACGAAAATCCTCAAAGGAACAACAAAATAGACATTCCGAGTTTAAAGATTTTCACGCTCAGGTAGATTGCAAGCTTACGTACGGTAATAAAAATCAAACACAGCTAACACTCGTATAGTATATAAAGTTCAGTGTTCAAAAACAAAACAGAAAAAAACAGAAATGATGAAAAATATAACCAAACTGGCATAATTGTTAAAATTCATACTAATCATGACGGTGTCTGAGCGAATATGATCATGCTGAAGTTCATCGCGGCTCGCTCATCATGGCGATCTCCAGTCATCACAATAAAGCAAGCCTCAGAAACTACATCGGCCGCCCTTCGAGTGAAAAAATAAGAGCTTGCTCTGATATCCTTTCCGATACGTTGAGTGGAAAGTCACATCAGTCACTGCAGCCGAGTTTTGCGGCGCTGTCATCCCGCGCGATCTTCATGTTCTGGTGAATTCGGCTGTCGTTCATTCAACAAGCACTCGCCTTGAACAGTTTGTTTTCTACCTTGTCATGTGAAAAAACTCACGTGTTTTTATGAGCCATAATTCGGCTGAAGTTCACTGAACATTTCACTTCAAGATTCTGTATTAGAGACTTAAAAACTTCAAGCAAAAGTGAGTGTTAAATTCGACTTGCCGAACTATTTTAGTTTGTAAACTATCGTAGAATGTGAACTTTGATGGTTTTTGAACTTTGATGGTTTGACACTTTTGACAGCTTTAGTCTTGTACAGCCAATCAGATTATTTGAACCATTCTAACAGGGATCCTGATTGGCTTATTGTAGCGTGCTTTATGAGAGTATAGAGCATGCTGACACTGTTGTTCGCTTTGGAAATAAAGTTTGTTTTGAAAATTGAATGTAATGCTTGGGTAATTTAACGGATTCTTTATTATAAAACAAATAGAGAAGCCTTGACTGTGCTCTGTTCTGTTATAAGGCACTTAGGAAGCGGCTAGAGCACTCAAGAAGTGGGAAGAAACACTCGACTACGTCTCGTGTTTCTCCCTACACTTCTTTCGTGCTCTAGCCGCTTCCTGCGTGCTTTATAACAGAACAGAGAACATTCAAGGCTTCTCTATTTGTTAATTAATACGAACAGAGGGTACTTTATGTTAAGTTCAAATACCTGAAGACTTCTCATTAAACGGTAAAGAAATTACTCCTAAAATTCTGTGGTCAACAGAAAAAAATGCGTTTATTTCGCAAAAAATTATCCATGAAGACGTTCAGAAATGTCATCAACGTACCCCATTACCCATTCCCTCGGCTTCCGTTTCAGTCGTTGACAAAATATTTGAACAGTTACTAGGTAACCAATGACATGCCATTTTAAAATAGCCAAACTTTGTACTACAAAATGACAGCGTACAGGATGCATATTTGAAAGTTGCGTGGGCTTATAGAAAATTTTGTGACTGCCACCGTCTACTCTGTGAATAATGACTATAACGTATCGATGTAAGGTATCTGTAGGAATTCAAAACCCAATACCACAAAGATGTACGTTAATCAGTCTTTCACACATTATTTCCGCGTTTGTGCATCAGTTGACAAATGAACATAAAATGTTTCCCTTAATCTGATCAAACAATTGTTTTTTTCTCCTTCTTAAGGCTGTCAATTTAAAGCTTGTCTAAAATACTAACGAGATAGTTTGTTTTATCAACTGAGTTGATAATGTAAATTGGCCTCCGTAGAGAGTTTCTAAGCTGAAGTTGTGAGCGTTAGCCCTTCGTCAGAGCGAGTCAGGGCTAACGCTCGAAACGTCAAGCCCGGCGCACACTAGAGCTATCAGCTGAGCTGAGCGTCACTCGTGGCTGTTGGCGTAAGCTGTTTCCTCAAGTGTGCGGTGTCATGTTCTGCGATTTTTGTCACGCGTGCCATGAGCTCAGAATATTCAACATGTTGAATAATTTCGTGCACGAGTGAACATTGACTCACAGTGTGCGCGCGTTTTGAGCTCTCAGCTCAGGAATCAATGCGAACGCGCATGCGTCCTTGCCATGCTTTATTGAAGTCTTATTTTCTTATTTCTCTTATTTTATCCTGGTTTGGAAAAGATATTCAAGATAAATTAGCTGATTTATGGCCCGATTATCCTTGTCTTTACGACGTTCGGTGTCCAGAATTTAAGAATCGGGAGTTACGAGATAAAGCGTTTCAAGAACTGGCCGAAAAACTTGGAACAACATGTAAGATAATTCAAAATTTTATTAGTGTAAAAAATAAGAGAAATAAGAAAATAAGACTTCAATAAAGCATGGCAAGGACGCATGCGCGTTCGCATTGATTCCTGAGCTGAGAGCTCAAAACGCGCGCACACTGTGAGTCAATGTTCACTCGTGCACGAAATTATTCAACATGTTGAATATTCTGAGCTCATGGCACGCGTGACAAAAATCGCAGAACATGACACCGCACACTTGAGGAAACAGCTTACGCCAACAGCCACGAGTGACGCTCAGCTCAGCTGATAGCTCTAGTGTGCGCCGGGCTTCAGCTTGGAAACTCTTTCGGAGGCCAATTTACATCGTCAACTCAGTTGATAAAACCAAATTATCTTTTTATCCTCCCCCACCGACGCAACACCATAGGTTTTTCTTTAGAACTTACCCCCCTTTATTCAAAATATTGACGTTTTGACGAAAGTACCCATAGGAAGAAAAACAACAATAAAAATGATAATATAAAAAGGCCTCTTTGTATATTAGAAACTCCATAAAGTTGTTGTTAATTAATAATAATGTTATTGAAAAATAAGCAGACACTCCACATAATACTTTTAAAATTGCACTTCTTATCACCAGTAACAAAAACATTGATAATTCTCCCCCACTCCCCAGGTTCGGAAAATTCAATAACCTTGTAATTTTCTAAGTGAACGAATTCTGCGCAACAAAACTCGAGTAAACGAGGATTGACACTCTATCGCTAAGGCTCAGGTGTGAGATGATTATTTACATATATACTCCAGCAGCATGGATAACTGGCAAATTATTCCATTCTCTCACGTTTCAATGTTCACAAAGCCATGTAACTGCTTATAAAATACTGCTTTGCCATATTCTTGAAAAAAAAATGGTTCTAAAAATTTGCAACTTTTTTTTGAACTGCACTCCATCACACTCTAAGTTAAAAATGTAAAAGAGTACAAAGAAAACGTTATGTAGCTTCTCAAAGACACTTTTGATGGGAGGTCGTACACAGACCTTACTTTCTGAGAAGTTACTATCATCCCTCGACTGCTTGATGAAAACTTTATGGGTTGAAGACTCCATGTAGCTTTTAGCTCTCTGCTTTTGGAAGTATTCCGTACAGCTCAACTCCAGATAGGTATATTCCATATTTTCCGGAAGACAGATTGACACCCGTTTGGAAAATTCGAAAACAGCGAAAAGGTTTTATTTCCCCCCTTAGAGACCATAGGCGTGAATGATATAAAGACTTATCTCCGCACTTGCACCGTGGATCCTTCATGTTGATTACAGTTTCAAATATATCCCAGTTCTTCCCGTCATAAGATCCCTCTAGTCGCCAATTCATAAGTGCCGAATCTCCGTTCTTTTTATCGTCTCTCAAAGAGCAGTTTGTAATTACAAGCTGATAACATGGGTCCAGAAAAATAGACCACCATGAACTTTTAATCTCTCCTGTTCCGCTGATGGTGCCCCTCCTATGGTCAAATATGTCATTCGCACTTCCCACGCCATCGGAGGATCTGTAAGCAAATAGTTTAGCCGACTCTCTCTTTAAGAAGCATATGACACCTTTACAGCTGTCGCCGAATTGCGTTGAAGTTGGTGAGAAAACATCTAAAGGGAAAAAGACATTTAGTTCAGAAAACAGTTGAAAAGGGAACGTAACCCCACCCCACCGGACTATTTAATATCCAACAACTGCCTATCCATCCGCTTATTCGTTCATCAATCTATCATTTTTTATTAATTGTTCATATGATTAACAGATCATATTCACTTTAATTTGACTAATTTATGTGGTATGTGGTTAACCCTTTCACTCCCAAGATCTCATAACATTCTCCTAACTGTCTCCCATACAATTCTTGTGATGTAAGTTGGGAGAATTTGGGTTTGGATCAACTAATATTCCCCTAATTGATATTTTTCTTTATTCGCCTCACTTTTCTGCTTGATAATGAATATGATATTGTAAGGAGAAATTCTGTCTTGTTTACTGATATGAATTAGAGGGTTTAAAACCCACCATTTTAAATGACAGTAATCAAAAGCTATGTTGCAAAAGAAACGGACCACAATTCTTCCTGGTTAACCGGCCTAATACCTACCTGAGATAGTGAGAAAATTCTAGTCAGAAAAATTTGCTTATCACTGACCTTCTACTTGTGCCTCAAACTTTTTTTTTCCGTTTTCTCCTAAAATTGTAAGGGGGTATTAGGCAGTAACTAGCTAGGAAGTGTGGTCTATTCCTGATTTTAAAATTCGAAGTACTGCTCCATCCTCTTACCAACTTTACTTAACTGCGTTTCCTAAACAGATAACGAAATATTGACTAACATTTTACTTAGTATTGCTTTTCGTGTAAAGGATAACACGTGGCTAAACCACCCTGTATAGAAGTATATAACACGTCACTATTAACTTTGTGCCTTTGTACTTACGCCTTCTGCAGTTGATGTGCTTATCAAGCTTCTCTTGTAGCCTCTTGTAATCCAAGTCACTTTTGTTCACTCTTTCGCTAAGCTGTTCAATTTTGGTTGACAGCTCAGTTTTTTCTTTCCTTAACTGACTGAGCTCTTCTGGATCCGGTTGATTTGTTTTGAGCATCATTAATTTTTCGTTCTCGCCTTTTAGGATTTTAATCTGTTCTCCCAATTTTTCCACATCCTCTTTTTTCGTTCTCTCGATCGTTCCTAGTTTTTGTTTTAATTTTCCTATCCTTGTCAGTTGTTCATGGTTTGATTTTATCAAGGCATCCCTTTTAAACTCGAGTTGTATGTTTTCCTCTTTCAATCTTTTCTCCTCTTCATTCCTTGTCTTCTTATCTTCTTCCTGCTTTAACTCGAATCAAAGACAACTTTAAGACGCCTCCTAGCAAAACCGAATGCAAAGATAATTTGCATCTGCTTAACTACTGATACTGAGTCCTTGAGAACTTTGTGGTGAGTTAGGCCGTGGATAAATTCATGTATGATACTCGTTCTACATACTTCGGAGTCCGATGGTCGGGAGTTTAATTTCTCTTGACGACTCACTTAAATTTTTTCTTTGTCCATGTTCGTGAAAAGACGAATAACATCAATCTTCGCATTCTTTGACGACTTTTTTTAGATGCAAACTAGCTATTTGAAACAAAATTTTGGATAAGAGACACTTTGTGTGAAACTATAGAATCTCAAATCAGCTTAGAGACGGAAATTAGGCAAGACAGAGAAAATAAGTTTGGAGCCAAACACTTCTGCTTTGTTTCATCATCAGATTTGATGGCAGATCGAAGCCGGACAAACGAAATAACGAACTATCTGTGTGGACAACAAAAGAGATAATAACCTACCTGGTACCTTTCAGTCAGAAGTCGAGGACGATTTGTCTTCAAAACAAATTTTGCGAGAACATGCGCTGTCAGCAATACTTATGTAATCAGTGACTTTTTCTGACAGCAATTAATACAAAGAGACTTAATTTCATGTTAAGTTCAATGCATTTATTTCGCAAAAAATTATTCATGAAGACGTTCAGAAATGTCATTCAACGTTCCCCATCACCCTTTCCCTCGGCTTCCGTCTCAGCTGTTGACAAAATATTTGATCAGTTACTAAGTAACCAGGTGACATGCCATTTTAAAATAACCAAACTTTGTACTACAAAATGACAGCGTACAGCATGCATATTTGAAAAGTTGCATGGGCTTAAAGAAAATTTTGTGACTTCCACCGTCTACTTTGTGAATAATGACTATAACGCATTGATGTAAGGTATTTGTAGGAATTCAATACACAATACCACAAGATGTAAGTTAATCAGTCTTTCACACATTATTTCCGCGTTTGTGCATCAGTTGACAAATGAACACAAAATGTTTCCCTTAATCAGATCAAACAATTGTTTTTTTCTCCTTTTAAAGGCTACCAATTTAAAGCTTGTCCAAAATACTATCAAGATCGTCTGTTTTATCAACTGAGTTGATGATGTAACTTGGCCACCGTAAAGAGTTTCTAAGCTTGCGTTGCGAGCGTTAGCCCTGATTCGCTCTGACGAAGGGCTAACGCTCGTATCGACAGCTTAGAAAGTTTTTACAGGGGCCAATTTCTATCATCAACTCAGCTGATAAAACCAAATTATCTTTTTAAACTCCCCCACCGACGCAACACCACAGTTTCTTTAGAACTTCCCCCTTTATTCAGAATAATGATGTTTTGACGAAAGTACATATAGGAAGAAAAACAACAATAAAAATGATAATATAAGAAAGGCCTCTTTGTATATTAGAAACTTCATGAAGTTGTCGTTAATTGATAATAATGTTATTGAAAAATAAACAGACACTCTACATAACACTTTTAAATTTCTACTTCCTTTCACCAGTAACAAAAACCTTGATAATTCTCCTCTACTCCCCAGGTTTGGAAAATTCAATAACCTTGTCATTTCCTAAGTGAATGAATTCTGCGCAACAAAACTCGAGCAAACGAGGATTGACACTCTATCGCCAGGGCACATGTGTAATATTATTATTTACATAAATACTCCAGCAGCATGGATAACTGGCAAATCATTCCAGTCTCTCACGTTTTAATGTTCACAAAGCCATGTAACTGCTTATAAAATACTGCTTTGCCATATTCTTAAAAAAAAAAAATGATCAAAAAAAATTTGCAAATTTATATTTTTTGACCTGCAATCCATCACACTCTAAATGAAAAATGTAAAAGAGCACAAAGAAAACGTTATGTGGCTTCTAAAAGACACTTTTGATGGTAGGTCGTACACAGACCTTACTTTCTGAGAAGTTACTATCATCCCTCGGCTGCTTGATGAAAACTCTATGTTTTGAGGCCTCCATGTAGCTGTTAGCTCTCTGCTTTTAGAAGTATTCCGTACAGCTCAACTCCAGATAAGTATATTCCATATTTTCCGGATGAATTGACACCCGTTTGGAAAATTCGAAAAAAGCGAAAAGGTTTTATTTCCCCTCTTAGGGACCATAAGCGTGAATGATATAAAGACTTATCTTCGCACTTGCACCGTGGATCCTTTACGTTGATTACAGTTTCAAATATTTCCCAGTTCTTTCCGTCATTGGATCCCTCTAGTCGCCAATTCATAAGTGCCGAATCTCCGTTCTTTTTACCGTCTCTCAAAGAGCAGTTTGTAATTACAAGCTGATAACATGGGCCCAGAAAAATAGACCACCATGAACTTTTAATCTCTCCTGTTCCGCTGATGGTGCCCCTCCTATGGTCAAATATGTCATTCGCGCTTCCTACGCCATCGGAGGATCTGTAAGTTAATAGTTTAGCCGACTCTCTCTTTAAGAAACATATGACACCTCTACAGCTGTCGCCAAATTGCGTTGAAGTTGGTGAGAAAACATCTAAAGGGAAAAAGACATTTAGTTCAGAAAACAGTTGAAAAGGGAACGTAATCCCACCCCACCAGACTATTTAATATCCAACAACTGCCTATCCATCCGCTTATTCGTTCATCAATCTGTCATTTTTTATTAATTGTTCATATAATCAACAGATCATATTCACTTTAATTTAACTAATTTATTTGCAGAAATTGTACTATACGCACCCTATGTGGTTAACCCTTTCACCCCCAAGATCTCATAACATTCTCCTAACTGTCTCCCATACAATTCTTGTGATGTAAGTTGGGAGAATTTGGGTTTGGATAAACTAATATTCCCCTAATTGATATTTTTCTCTATTCGCCTCACTTTTCTGCTTAATAATGAATATGATATTGTAAGGAGAAATTCTGTCTTGTTTACTCATATGAATTAGCGGGTTTAAAAAACCTACCATTTTAAATGATAGTAACCAAAAGAAATGTTGCAAAAGAAACGGACCACAATTCTTCCTGGTTATACCCACCTGAGATTGTGAGAAAATTCTAGTCAGAAAAATTTGCTTATCACTGACCTTCTACTTGTGCCTCAAACTTTTTTTTTTTTAGTTTTCTCCTAAAACCGTAAGGGTATTAGGCAGTAACTAGCTAGGAAGTGTGGTCTATTCCTGATTTTAAAATTCGAAGTACTGCTCCATCTTCTTACAAACTTTACTTAACTGCGTTTCCTAAACAGATAACGAAATATTGACTACCATTTTACCTAGTATTGCTTTTCGTGTAAAGGATAACACGTGGCTAAACCACCCTGTGTAAAAATATATCACGTCACTATCAGCTTTTTGCCTTTGTACTTACGCCTTTTGTAGTTGATGTACTTATCAAGCTTCTCTTGTAGCCTCTTGTAATCCAACTCACTTTCGTTCACTCTTTCGCTAAGCTTTTCTATTTTAGTTGAAAGCTCAGTTTTTTCTTTCCTTAACTGACTGAGCTCTTCTGGATCCGGTTGATTTGTTTTGAGCTCCATTAATTTTTCGTTCTCGGCTTTTAGGATTTTAATCTGTTCCCCCAACTTTTCCACTTCCTCTTTTTTCGTTCTCTCGATCGTTCCTAGTTTTTGTTTTAATTTTTCTATCCTTGTCAGTTGTTCATGGTTTGATTTTATCAAGGCATCCCTTCTAAACTCGAGTTGTATGTTTTCCTCTTTCAATCTTTTCTCCTCTTCATTCCTTGTCTTCTTATCATCATCTTGCTTTAACTCTAGCTGGATGATTTTGTTTTCTAATGCTTCTTTCTCTGTTTTTATTTCACTCAGTTCCTTTTCCAAACCAGGACAACGCCAACATATTCGGCTTTCTGTGAAGAGACAATTTCCAGATTAGAATCTTTAAAATTATTCAGTTTAAATCATTATGATACCAATGAGGACCTGGCTGGAAAAACTTGAAGTATTCGTATTTCTCCAAAAACCCAATCAAAAGATTTATGATCTTACTTAGTATATGCTAAAGAAAACTATTCACTTCAGTATCGCTGGATAGCTGTGGATCTTTACCTCGCCGCTTCGCAGTTCAGTAAACATCAATCACTAGCCACCACTTGGTAAATAGTTGTTACTTATCCCTATTCAGTGCCAGCGCCGGAAGTTTTCGAGTTGGGTGTGGGAGGAAAGGGAAGATGGGTCAGAGGCATAACTGTTAACAAAAGGGTCAGGGGCATGTTCTCCTGTACATTTTTAATCTTTTCCAAATGCCATCAGATTCTTTTGAAAATGACAAACGTTTTTAGTTAAAAACTTTCACTGGCCTTTCTGCTCTGGAGAAACTAATCCAGATTATCATCTTTAAAATTAGTTATTTTAAATCGTTATGATACCAATGAGGACCTCGACCTGCCTGCAAAATTAAACTTGAAGTATTCGTATTTCTCCGAAAACCCAACCAAATAAGGCTATTAACAATATAAATGTGCTAATTATCAGCCCGACTTAAACCAAAATATGAAAAAAAATGAAGCCTTACTTCTTAAATTACAGAAAAGACAACAACTAAAAAAACGTAACTAATGAAAATCATGATAGACTGGAAAACAAATGACTGAATTGAACAAAAAAAACATTTACTACTGTTACAAATATCAAAATATTTGGCAAGAACTAAACATCTTGTCAGATTTTGTATGCCAAATCTAACAGTGATGATTATGAGGTTTCTTAACCGATTTATTGATATATTGAATTTTTATGATTTATATTAAAACAGTAGATAGCGTTAAAGGTGCACTCTGATTGGCTACTCAAACTCCGAATATTCTTTGCTATTCACCTCCGAGCAACTCGCGCGGAATTTACACATCACTGCAGGAATAAATGGGATGTGTTTGTCTCCTGTTTCAAGGAGAAAAACGCATCCTTTTTGCATTTTGATCCTTCAATATACTTCCCAGTTTTTTCTGTAAATTCCCATTTAGTGCCCGAGCCCAGCATAACCTTTTCCTCACATCACTCGTTCCTAGGTACAAAGAGGCAAAAGATTTACAGATGTACACGGTAGTAAGGTTGCTGGCTCTTCAAGCCGTTAACATTGCCCTAACAATTACTCAAATGCTGGCATATGCAACTACATTGGTGAACTAGTTCAATTTTCTTTAATTATTTTGAGGAGATCTGACTCGATTTTAAGGGCTCTAAGCTTCCACGACAATGCTGCAACCTTAAAAACTGTGCGCAGACACAACCCTAAGATACCCCTTTCTTGGTGTAACTTAATAAAAAAGGTAATGCATGTGCCTACCGTTGTATAGTTGTAGAGTATTGTAGTAAAAAAGCAGCGTGGTATAAAATGTAAAGGTGTTAATGAAAAGCTCTTGTCAATGCCAAAACTGCGACAAAATGAAGACTTGGTTGGAACAGATTTTGTATACTGTTAAATTGACAGACCGAGGGTTGGAAATTAATTGAATAGGTTCACATATATAATGTGCGTCAAATGTATTTCACAGAAAACTTCACCAATGTTTGCACGCTATTCGTACCCGGCAAGATGGATGTAACTACTCTTTCGAGTCTGAAAGTATGAGCTTACTCTGTCCACGAGAGAACCGGGCAGGCGTGACATATGCCATCTCACCGATTTTTTTCAAACTTTCACAGTTTATTAGGGTCACCAAGTTATTCAATAATCCAAAGTAGTTCGGGCTCCCGGCTAATCCCTGGAGTATTAGAGCCCCCACAACAAATCCCTGGGGTAAAAGGCTAAAATTAGCTCGAAAAATGCACTTCCAACGAAAATCTCTCACACTAACGGAATGCGATGGATTTTAATCTTATTTTATCCAATGGTTTTTTGAACCCTCAGGAAACAATTCCTTCAAGTTGAAGTAATTTGATATAACTTCTGTCAATTTAGAGCAGTTAATCATTAACTATGTCACGCAACTATTCCAAAAAAAAAAATAGGTTTTTAATTGAAATTATCTCCAATGGGCAACATTATCAGTCGGAAAAAACATACTATCACAGGAATGACCTATCCTAACACTACCTTTGCTGGCCTCTGTAAAAGATTCGTGATCAAAAATACGTGACTTCTGACGTTAATTTTAGCAATTTTTAGTCAAACTGAAGTTTATTCACTTAATTTCAATTTAAGAATGGGATCACCGACGCTAGTTTTTGTGGCACTATTGTCTAGAAACAACAGATGTATAACTACCGAGCTAAGAAGTTACTTATCATCGAAATTCTGTGACGCTGACACAATCTATTAGAAAAATGATTCATAAATGTATGAATATATCACACATTAAACATTACCGAATTGAGTAATGGACGTCGGCAGTTGACAACGACGTTTGCCAAATGTAATTTACACAAATGAAACACTTTATATACCTATTATTGTTTTACTCAATGCGCCAAATTCGATTTTTGGAACGAAGTGTTGCAATTGCCCCCGATTTCGGAATCTTGGCTAGACCGCAACAGCTACGTTCCCTTTTCTTTACAAAAAGTGCGTAGGTTGTTTAACGTCCCTTGCTGACCAGTTATGGCAACTTGGGGCCAAGATGCTGCCACATGAAACCTTCCAACATCCTTAGCTGGCTAGGTGACTGAAGTACTTTTATCATATGACCGTACGGCCCTGCGTGCGCAGTCCCATGGAAAACCGTAGTAAAAGCTGTGACGTGAGCATGTCTAGAAAAAACCTTCCCGGCCCGTGTCTTTCGTAGAATTTTGTGTCTTCATAGCTCCGACTCGAAAAAACTAAGGATAAATTTTTATTGTAGAATGGTTTTTTGTGTTTTTTTGTTTGTTTGTTTGTGTTTGTGAATTTTGCGTGCGCCCGTCTATCGCGTCCCGTTCAGGTTGAAACAAAATTTTCGTAACATTCGATACTTAACGCTTATATAATAAAATTCTTATGGACTGAGTTTGATTGAGCCATATGGGAAGACATTTGGCACTCGGTCCGTACGTCATGACCTCGACCCAAATATTTTCCATCCGGCCCTCCCACTCAGTCGATAAGTACAAATTTTATTTTTCTGTTGGAACTTGTGGAGAAATGTATTTTTGAGACTGTCCCTTTGATGCCAACCATGCTGTACTTCTTCATATTTTGGAAAGAGTATTGAATTTTTGCAACGGTGGCATAGCACCCTTTCAACCCCTCTCCCTCCCCCCTCCCCCTTCCCCTTATACCATTCAATAGGAGCCTTCATACATGTCTTTAGCATTATTTATGTGGTTTACTGGTTTTTTTCTATGATAAATTGCCTCATGTGACTTTCAATTATGGCTTTACGGCGATAGTAATTACAAACATCCCTGCTTACTTGGGGATCGCTGAAGTTGTACCGCAAGATTAGCCTGATTCGAGTACAGTCTTGGCAATGACAGGTTAATAAACGCGTTGTTGTAACACCCTGCGTTTTCAGATCGTCAGAAAGCTTTAGTAAGGTTAGTGTAATTGGACTTTTAAGCGATTGAGACGAGATTTCAAATAAGGAAGAGAACTAGAAACTTATTACCGGTAAAAAAAGAATTTAAAATGTGACAGTCAGATAATCTCCTCCTTGTGAGTAACCCATGGAACCATTCGCTTCATTAAGGTAAATTTAAATGTAACAGGAACAGCTGTCAACTGCCGACGTTCATTACTCAATTCGGTAATTTTTAATCTTCTCGTGGACAGACTCTCATGGTTCCGGAGCCCTGGCCTTTCCTTTCAATTTACATTCTTCTTCAAAGGATATGTTTAGAAGTGTTTAGAGTAAAACGCACATGTCAGAACATTTGACGACATATCTTTTACGTTCAAATCGATAACAAGGTTAAAATGCAGAGATAAGACCCCGAGCAAACATCAAACTGAACCCGACAAAACCGAAAATTAATCCGAAGAAACCCGACCAGATTCGTTCAATGATGGCCAGTGTCAGAGCTGAGCCAGGACGAGCACAGGTTGCCCAAGCTCCAGCTGTGAGATGATAATCTTGCGCAATAATGGTCATGGCGGAATTATAAGAGTTTGTGTGGGAATATTTACCACCGCTCTAAGGAAAAAAAATAAGTCAAGTTCTCAATAAAAATACCTCACCTTACGTCCACAGCGAATTGCTCGTTATCTAACCGCTTACTTTGATGAAAATAACCCATTTAAGCGAGTTATCCATTTCGAGGTTTTCTACGTACATAAGAAAAGCCCTTTTGGGCCGCCTTTGGGACGAGTCACAACAGACGTTATGAGTGTCTCACGATACTCGGTCATTTTGAAACCCGCGAAGGGCTTGGGGGAGATTTACGGACTTAGAAGACACAGTACCACGAAGCTAGTGCCTCTGGCCATCCTAGAAGGAAGGCACAGTAGGCACAATTAAAACCTGTTCGCGGCGCGATCTACGTCTAAAATGAAGCCTCCTTGACAAGGCCACGTAGGCTTTCGTCCGAAGATCTTTTCTACCTACATAGGTGTTCAGTTTTTTGTTACGAAAGCAAGTAGATCTAGGTAAACCTGGTATTGAGAA